ATATTTCTTTATTTATGTTTTCTTAACTGGTGCAGGAGTTGTGGAAGAATATGATTCTCCAGCAAAATTACTTGGAAACAAGTCTTCCTCTTTTGCTCAACTTGTGGCTGAGTACAATGCAAGATCAGATTCTAGTTTTCACCATTAAAAATATTTCATCTGATTTAGGCCTAATGAATAAGTGTGTTCTTTTACCTACGAGAGAAACTTCCATGGAAGCATTGGACTGATCTTTAAACGCGTTAGGTTTAAGAAGTCTAAGAATGGGGAAGTTTAGCCCAAAAAATTTCAGATTAGTGGCTTAATTTGCTTGATAATTTTCTTTTCTTTTTTATATTTTTAAATTGTCAATAAACAACAATGAATTGAGATTTTATGGTTATTTTAAATTATTGACATAAGGACTTTACTGTTATTTTCAGAGTTTTATTTTTTTTTATAACACCAAAATCCAAAGCTTGAAAGTTATAACAACAAACTTTAAAATTTCAAATCACCCCCAAATTATATATAAATTCTATGGGTTGACTTTTCAATCTTGTTGGTACAATTTTTCAAAATGCTTGAGCATCAAGAAAGGCAAAAACAAAATTTCTCCGTTTTTATTTTTCTTTTCTTTTTTTAGAAAATGGTTTTCCTTTTATGTTTGTTAGAAAATGAAAATTTTAGAAAATATATTTAGTTAAAAGGAAATGATTTTCAATTTTAAAATAAAATATTTATATATAATATTTAACATCTAAATTTTTATAAATTAAAAAATCGCTCTTAAGATTTTTCTTGTTACAATTAACTATCAAAACTTCAAAAAAATTATAAAGAAGGATTTCTTTCAATAAACTCTTTTTTTACCACAAATAGAAAACGACAAACTTCAACATGGCTTCTAGTGAGGAAGCACAAAGTTTTTTCTCAGATTCAATAGCTTCACAAGTCTTCAAAGTATTATTAAGTCCCTTGGCTTTATTTGAATTTTGAGGGACTCCAAAATGGGTCAAAAATTCAAGCAACTTTCTGGTGGGGAATGGTAGCGATTCGGCCTCTTGACAACTGAGAAACTCAATGTGTGATAAGCCGGACTTTGGAAAATAAGTCGGACTTTGGAAAAACTATCTCCATTCCACTACGTAGATTTTCTTCAATGAAGAATTCCTCTCATGCAATTGATTGTGCGATTTCCAAGATCCTTGTACTTTTCCTTATTACCAGGCTAGTCGCTCTTGATCACACTTATATTTTTTGCAATAATCTACTCTTTAGTTGCTACAAAATATTTTATAAAAATTAAGTTAAATTTTTTTGATATAATAGTCAAATAGTAATATAAGAATAAGAAAAGAACTTATCAAAATTAAAAAAAAAAGAAGGGAAAAAGAGCCAAACTAAACAGACGAAGCTCAAAATAGCTGAATTAAGACTTTTGGGATTGGGTTGTTTGGAAGCATGCTCTTCCAATATTTTTCGTTCCAACTAGAAGCACCTACCTTGCTTGCTCTAGATACAAAAAAGAAGACAAGAAAAAGAAGAATTTTGTGAATCATGGTGCTAATATGCAGCAACATAGATAGAACTAGAACTGTATTTGTGGTAATAGATTGGGGTTTGGTTACACCTAAAGCCCAATTGCTAGGTACTGAAGCCCATTTAAATCCCTACTAACAATTTTTTTTTTTTTGAACGAGTTTACAATTCGAGGTGAACGGATTCGAACTTGGTTAAAGAAAAATTTTCAAAAAAGGAGCTAGGGTTCTTGAGCACTGACCACGATTTAAAAGTGCTTGGAAAGCAACATAATTGAAATACACAAGTAATGCATAAAAAATGCACAAGCAGTGCACGAATAATGCACATTTTACGCACGAGTTTAAAATCTAGCTAAATTTTTTTAAAAAAACCTAGTCATTAGTTGACAAAAATAAATAAATAAATATAGTCATCCTAGTGGAAAAAATGACTCGAGAGAGTTCTTTCTAGAGGAGGATTTCAACCATGGCATGGAGATACTCTTTCTCATCTCTCCTTTGTCTGCTATTACTTTCATTGCTCATGTTGTTGAAAAGCTCGATTTCCCCACCAAGGAGCTGTCAGCCATTCTTGATGAATTTTGCCTCAAGCCAAATTCAAGTCAAGCCCAAGCATTGAATGATACTATAAGGATTTGCAAGGTAGCTCCTTTGTGAATAGAGAAGAAGCGATGTGTGACCTTAGTGGAAGTGATGCTAAAGTTCATGGTGTTGGTTTTGGGGGGAAACCTAGTCAAATCTAAGATTATTCAGTTTTGGAATTGAAGGTGTTCAACAAGGAACTTGTGGCAAGGGATGTTGTTTCTTGCCACAAATTGGTATTTCCTTTCTCCCTATTTCTTTTTCATTCCTTCTCCCACACAAAAACCTACTGGGTACATAAACCATAAACCACAGCAAGTACACATAGACATAAACCACTTTTAAACAAGTCCAAATCCCCACACTAAAATATCAATTGGAGTGGAATGGCATACACTTGCTTCCCCCTTTTGGACATGAAGCAACTCAAATGCAATGTGCATTGTGTTCCAGCTGGACGTGTTGCAATGGTAAACCACAATTTGTGTGACCTTCTCTAATTTTGGTCCAATAAGTTGAAGGCGATAGGCAATGGTTTCTTTTGCTGAATGGCAAAGATAGACAGCGTACAAGTAATTCATCTTATGGCAAACCAGAACATCATTTGCCACAGCTTCTCTGGCAAAGATTTTGAGGGTAGTTGTGGAATCTTCTTTTTGGCTTGAGTATACCTTGGCATCATGTCCTAGGAAGGAAACGACGAACTTCAACATGGCTTCCAGTGAGGAAGCACATAGTTTTTTTCTCAAATTCAATAGCTTCACAAGTCTTCAAAGTTTTATTAAGTCCTTTGGCTTTATTTGAATTTTGAGGGACTCCAAAACGAGTCAAAAATTCAGGCAACTTTCTGGTGGAGAATGGTAGCGATTCGGCCTCTTGACAACTGAGAAACTTAATGTGTGATAAGTCAAACTTTGGAAAAACTATCTCCATTCCACTACGTAGATTTTCTTCGATGGAGAATTCATCTTGTGCAATCGACTGTGTGATTGGGTCCATTCTTCCAAGATCCTTGTACTTTTCCTTATCACCATGGTAGTCACTCTTGATCACATTCAGATTTTTTGCAATAATCTACTCTTTAGTTGCTACAAAATATTTTATAAAATTTAAGTTAAAATTTTTTTATATAATAGTCAAATGGTAAGATAAGAATAAGAAAAGAACTAATCAAAACAAAAAAAATAGGGAAAAAGAACCAAACTAAACAGACAGAGCTCAAAATAGCTGAATTAAGACTTTTGGGATTGTGTTGTCTGGAAGCATGCTTTTCCAAAATTTTTTGTTCCAACTGGAAGTGCCTACCTTCCTTACTCTAGATACAAAAAAGAAGACAAGAAAAAGAAGGGTTTTGTGAATCATGGTGATAATATGTAGAAACATAGATAGAATTAAAACTGTATTTATAGTAATAGATTGGGGTTTGGTTACACCTGAAGCCCATTTAAATCCTATTGACAATTTTTTTTTTTTGAATGAGTTTACAATTTGACAAAAATAAATAAATAAATATAGTCATCCTAGTGGAAAAAATGACTCTAGAGAGTTCTTTCTAAAGGAGGATTTCCACCATGGCATTGAGATACTCTTCCTCATCTCTCCTTTGTCTGCTATTACTTTCATTGCTCATGTTGTTGAAAAGCCCGATTTCCCCACTAATGAGCTACTGGCCATTCTTGATGAATTTTGCCTCAAGCCAAATTCAAGTCAAGCCCAAGCACTGAACGATACTATGAGGATTTGCAAGGTAGCTCCTTTGCAAATAGAGAAGAAGTGCTGTGTGACCTCAGTGGAAGGGATGCTCAGGTTCATGGTGTTGGTTTTGAGGTAAGACCTAGTCAAATCCAAGATTATTTTGTTTTGGAATTGAAGGTGTTCAGGTTGTGGCAAGGGATGTTGTTTCTTGCCACAAACTGGTATTTCCTTTCTCCCTATTTCTTTGTTATTCCTTTTCCCACACAAAAACCTACTAGGTACAATTCATGGGCGGGCTATGGGGCTCAGAAGCCACCCAAATCATAACCTGCCATGAAGATACCTCTTATTGGAATCCCAATCATATAGCTTTTCAAGTAATTGGTGTTAAACTAGGGGACAAGACTATTTGTTATATTGACACCATAGATAGTCTTGTATGGGGGCTTCCTATCTAAGTGTGGGAAATGTGAGGAGTAGGGTTGAGATGAATAAAAACATATTTTTGAATTCTATATTTAAAACCTACTAAAAATAAAATTTATTATAGAATGAAATTAAAGTTAATTTTTATTTTCTCTATAAAAAATAATTGCTAAAAAGTGCAACAAATGAAAGAGAAGGTATTAGAAGCACTTTTTA